TCATTTAGTCATGATCATTTTGTTAACTCATGCTAGGCTGCCGCAGATATTGTTGATTTGTATTCTGCCGTGTTTGGTTGGTTTATTGGGATATTCGATGGATGCGCTCATTTGTTGTTAAACGAATCTGCTAGACCAGTACCACTTCCAGCTAGAAAGATACCCATAGCTTTGGGCAAAAGGCTATAGAAGAACTGCAGCGTTTGTCCAGTTTGAGCGTCGTAGTTAAGGTTGATGAGCCGACAGATTGGGTAAGCCAAATGGCAATCATCACTAAGAAATTTGGGGATTTGTGTGTGTGTATCGACCCTAAACCACTCAGTGCTTCGGCCCTTAGCCTAGAGTTAACGAGCTTGTCTCGTAATCTTGCGACGTGGGTTTGAATCCGGGTAGGAGCGGGAGTCCTCGCGGTATACTCAGCCCGCGTGCGATTGGTGGTGGTCCCACGGCAGCGAAGCGCCGCTACGGCGTACAGGTGATACTTTATTATTTTATTTATTATTAGTGCCTCGCTCAGAAGAGAGTATTTATACCCTACCGACGCTAGACGATATGCCACCAGAGTTATCGAAGGCAAAGATGTCACGAATGTTGATCTCGCTTCAGCCTTCTGGCACGTAGCACTTGACGAAGAATCAAGCTATCTGACTACATTTGGAACGCGTTTTGGACGTTTTGGATGGCTTCGTTTGCAATGCGGTTTAAATGCATCCAGTGAGGTATTTCAGAAGCGGCTGCTGCAAGCATTGAACAGTCTGACCGGAGTCTTTTGTATAGAGATGACGTGCTAGTTTTTTATTGCTACTCCAGTGGAACACGATCATCATCTTCACCCGTTTCTGCAACGCTTTAGTGAAAGAAACATCAAACTAAAACATGATAAAGTTAAGCTACGCAAAACGGAAGTGGCATTTCATGGGCACATGCTGAGTTCGACAGGATTGAAACCGGATCCAGAGAAAATCAGGGTCATAAACGAGATGTGTCCTACCTCTGATGCAAAGGCAGTTAGCAGGGTGAATGGAATGGTTAACTAATTGAGCCGTTTGCTTCCACGATTGGCCGATGTGATGATACAGATTCGAAAGTTGACCCATAAGAGTGAAGCTTGGCACTGGGGTTCTGAACAGGAAATTACCTTTCGGAAAATCAAGGAATTAATTACAGAAGCGCCTGTTCTTGTCTACTTTGATCCGTCTCTTCCACTCGAGATTCTGCGTGACAGTAGTCTATACAGCATTGGAGCTGTGCTTATGCAAAGCGGTAAGCCTGTCAATTTTCACAGTCACACGCTTACAGAGGCCTAGCGTCGTTGCGCATATATTGAAAAGGAAATGTTGGCGCTGGTTTACGCCGTAGAACGTTTCAACAACTATACGTTCGACCATAAAACAAGTGTCTTCACTGCCCACAAGCCCCTTGTATCCATTTCTAGAAAGCCACTCAATGTTGTTTCACGCCCTCTGCAAAAGACGCTCATTCGTCTGCAGAAGTATGACCTGGATATTGTCTACCGACCAGAATCCTAGATGCACATTGCGGACATGTTGTCAAGGGCGCACCTGCCAGACACCAGAAATGGAAGAAGACCCGGATTTTGTCCACGCAATACAGGTGATCGCTGTCACTGAGGGACATCTGTAGCAGCTTTAACAGTGCACGGACGAGGCTACTGAGGCGGATAATAATGGACGGATGGCCTGAAGTAATAATAAATAATAATGTGTTAGCTGCCGCGCGACCACCACCAGTCGCGCGCGGGCTGAGTATACCACGTGGGCGCCCACCCCTACGCGGATTCGAACCGGTGACCTTATGGTTGCAAAGCAGGTTGGTGATGCACGAGCGGCCCTTCATGAAGCCGTGCTGTGCCCGCATTGGGAGATCTTTCGACTCCAGCAGCTAGAGAAGACCCTTTTTCACCTTCGCCAAAACAGAGGTGAGACAGATCGGCCTGTAATTGTCCACATTGTGTGGGTTACCACCTTTTGGAATCGGCTTCACTACCGAGCATTTCCAATCGCTTGGCAATGCACCCTCGGACAGCGATCTATGGAACAGATCTGTCACGGCAGACGAGATGGTGGCCGATAAGAACTTCAAAATTAGCGAGTGAAGTCCATCGTGTCCGGCAGGTTTTGTGCCATTAAGACTGGCGAGTAGACTGCGGACATCTTCTACACCGCAGTCAAGACCGTCGAGTTCAGTAGGGGCTGCACACGTCGAACTCAGCATAGGCGCATGCCAACTTGTGTATACGAAAGCGAAGTGCTCCGCCAATGAGGAAACCTGTTCAGCGCTGGAGGTCAGAGGCCGTCCGTCAGTGCCTTCTAACACAGCTACGTCACTTCGAGCCTCAGGCGCCGCTTCAGTAAGCAAAAAAATCGGCATCGGTGATTTTTGAGTGCAACCAAGTTTCCGTTACCAAGGTGAGGTCCCAGGCGTATGATGATTGGCATAGCCGCAGTTCGGCATCCTTGCTCAGGAGACGTCATGCATTGTTGTACATGTAGGAAAGTTCCCCTGTTTTTAGCAGTAGGTCGTGAGGTGTGCATTTTGGGTATGATGTACGAATCAGTGAAAGGTTGCGGTGACGAACTAATTTGTGTCAGATCCATGGTTCCCGCCATTACCACTTTATTCTTCTCTTTGTGTTTGGTATATAGGGCGTTTCTGCCAGTTTCGTTGGCTAGTGCGTCAGCTGTACGCCGTAACGGTGCTCCGCTGCCGTGCGACCACCACCAGTCGCACGCGGTCTGTATCCCGCGAGGACGCCCATCCTACGCGGATTCGAACTCGCGCCGCAAGGTTACGAGACAAACTGGTTCCCCTTAGGCTACGGGCCAACGAGCTGAGTAATGTTATCTAAACCGGTGTCGGGAAATAGTCTGACTAAATGGCTGCTCTCGTATGTTTGCTATGGCTCTGCTTTGATCCAGAACTCGGAAGGAAGGCTGCTTCGACCCGCATACCAGCACCCTTTTTGAAATTTATCTGGATTGAAGCACCGCCTTCACAATCCTTGGGCCACATTCTATGTAACTTGGCGATCTGCGCAGCCTCGAGATCCATTGCGCTATAGCGTTTTCCAGGAACACGGTCTCTTGAAGATATCGCCACTTTCCCTGGTCCGTGAGTAGTCGCTTCGCGCTCACCATAACCCCCATCTTCGGGAACACCTTGTACAAGGATGGTCCTGAACATGGATTCCTTCTGGTATTCTTCCAAGTCGTGCTTCGCTTGTGCGCTCGCTCCACAATATATCCGGAAAGATGCGGATGGAATATGACCCATTTCGGAGGCGTTTTCGATAACAGGAGAAGTCTCAGTTCACCATAGTGCTCTGTTTGGGTGGCGGGTGACGCATGTCAAGTTGACGGGCCTAGATACAACACCTATGATGTCACATAGGGAATTCCAGTGATTTACTTCATCGTGTTGTTTTCCTTTTAAGGAATTTGACGTCGATTCTTTGAACGTTATGTACAGCCCGATTTGAGTTTAACTGCCCATCTGGCTGTGTAAGGACAGTTACGCCTTGTTCATTTAATTTGGGGCCAGTGGAAGTAGCGGAAGGCCTAAATTTCTACTTCCCCTTGGCTGCAGCCACGTTCCAACCATCACTAGCGTCGGCGTCCTGAAATTTCAGGACAGTTCCAGGGTGGACGAGGCCCTGGCATTACTTATTCCAATCGGACTGGTGGTGGCTGTTTCAGGTGTATTTGGGCAACCGATGATTATGACATTCAAATCTGCAGGTGACGCATTTTAACGTGCTGTTTAGCGTTCTTCGACTTAGCTGCGGAACCTATTCGAAATGCTCGAGGTTCGTTCTCTCATGTTTTCTCTAAATGAATCGATTCTTGTGTTCCTATTTGTTCAGCCATTGGCACCAGTCTTTCGTGTCTACAATAGTTAACCTAAAATCTCTACCAGTAGGACGACCATACATACCGCAGGAAACCACAGGGATCTGGTCAACTATTGTGTATCTTCAACCGGTTTACCGTGAATGAAATTTGGCGAGGCAGTTTGAACAATGGATTCCTGCTCCTATATTTTTCTGACATGAAGGAAGGCCACATACTACTATCGATTTGGATAAGACAAAATGGGCTTTTGATTGATCTTTACAAGCCATTGAGTTTATCGATGCCTTTGCGGTCAGTAACGAGCGTTTACGGTTGCCTGTGGGTCGGCTGCGCCCTGCATTTTAAAGGTTGACACGTTTGGTGCATCTAGCCCTGGCACGGCAGGTTTAAGCGACTAGATCGTTCACTCGGTAAATAAAGCAATAGCTACTTTGCTTAGCGGTCTACAGCTGTGGTTGATGACTCGTCGGGTAGATCGCGGAGTTAGGTTTCGAGACTGCAAATGTTGCTATGTGTTTCCGAAACTTCCTCGGTTGTGCCTCCACGGGAACGTCGCGAAAACTGCGATGTGGCGATGAAAGACAATCTACATAAGCTAGATCCGAAAGATGAATGCATTAGATAGCGCTGACGAAGCTGGATAGAATGAGTGTCAACACACATGTTTGTGATGAGAAGTGTGTCAGTAAATCCGGTTTGTGAACTTGGCCGGATAGTTCACGTCCGTACGGATGGTCCTGCTATTTCCCTTGAGTATATGCGTGGACAGAGTTATGCGTCGTCCAGCTTAAGCTTATTATTCGTCTCTGTGACTTCGATCATCCTGTGGTTTTCTGCAGCTACATGGAGAACTAAACCTCAAAACGCACATGAACGCCTTATCGCTATCCTTCCCTCCGATACCGCTATAATTCCAACGTCATTATGTACCACAGACCGAAAATATGTTGTAGATCTCATGTTTTAATCGATTTTCCTGAAAGAATTCTCTATTCATCGTGCATTTTTTTGCTTGTTAATCTGACATGTTCGGGTATCTCCAAGTTTCTTTACTGTTAGTATTCCATGCGAACCTGCTGTTTTCGTTGTTATTGTCCGAAGAACTCCTTACCATTCTTGTGCTTACAGACGCACCGGTCGAGCTGGGAACAAAGGATTTGCGTACACATTCCTCACTCCTGATCAAGAACGCAATGCTGGCGACATAGTTCGCGCTTTCAGACACAGCGGACAAAAACCACCGGATGATTTGATGGCGATGTGGAATGCCTACAAAACACGCATGGCTGCTGTTAGTTCTATCCCTTTGATACCCTTTTGTGTGAAAACCTGTCTTTCCATCTTAGGCTACCGCGGTTACCATTCCGGAGAGATGTACGAAAGCTGTATGTAGATGGTTCGTCTGTCTGTACGTTGTATGCCCTTGCCCCATTGATTTATACCAATCATTCTACGGCGCTGATCTTCCGTCTGATTTGATTCTCTCCTTACTATCTCAATTCCTAAATGACGACTCCATTCGCAAAGAACGACAGCTACGGACCCGATCGGGGCCATATACAGTGCGGTGTGGCTCTAGATGGCCCTCTCTATTTTTCGCAAACATCGCTGCACTTACCAGCAAATCGGGGAACAGATGTCTTCAACTGTTCTGAGAAGGTTCGTCTCAGTTAAACTCAGCCAGCAGCCCACACATATATCCAGGATAGCGCTAGACGGCCGATTCGCCCTGTTAGAACTCGTCAGTAGCGTGCACTTTCACGATTCTGCCTGAATCTAGCTGCGATGAGCCTTCGCAAAAACCCACTAATCTTCAACTTTGTTAAGTGCTTTTTGACATTGGATCCACAGTAACCGCTCCATGTGATCTTGCACACTATTTGAATGCTGTGCTTTGTTTTCCATTTTTATGCGTTTGCATGACACTGTAACATGTACTTACCGAAATCTCGATCCTCTCTCAAGGGATCCCTCCGCAATCCAGGAAAATCACACGTATCTGAACGTCTCAATCGTCAGTTTTTCAGTTTTCTATAGTTCACTTGAGCCGTAATTCACCGAAGACATGAAGTACCCACTATTCATGCCGTAAATCACCGCGTATTGTTCTTGTATTGGGTACCGATGCAAAATGCTCGCTAAAATCTTTTTACCTCGATCCAAAGTATAGGGTGCCTGGGTTTGGTTCTTTTAGTTTCTTTGAACTGATAGCATAAAATCTGGTGTGTTAATCATCTTTTACTCTGTGTGTGAACTTCAAATCATTATTCTGACATACCCAAATCGCGTCATGAGCATTACCAGCGCTCGAATCCCTCAAGTATGCTATGCTCAAGCATAGCAAAGCAAGTATGCTTAAAAAGTATGCTTAAAAAGTATGCTTAAAAGCTCAAGCAGACCAACAGAACACAGCCGATGTTCGCCACTTCTCTCATAGTGAAAGATCACTGCTGGTATGCTCAATTGCCCATATATCCAAGCTGCGAGTGTAGCGGGATCCATCGGTCTTTCTCTACATGCAATGCATCATTGTCTTTAATTGCTTCCGATTGGATTTTAGCAGATAGGACCTTCTTTTGCATTAGACGATTGTAGTGCAGATTTCACTCGCATCCGGACCTGATGCTCTTCTTGACACTGTAATCAATCCACCACAAATTCCATTACGCGCGCCACCCCGCTCTTGTATTACAGGAGGGAAAGAAAGTGTTCGGCTCCTCTGGGTTTCGTGGCAAGGGCTTCATGTTTGACGAGGCTGAGGCTCAATTGAACACGGAGAAACGAAAAGCACAAAAGGCTGCTTTGGGCCTCCAAGATTCAGACGACGAGGAAATCGACCCGAACAGTCAGGATTGGGAGACAAGGATTGAAGATATGTTGGCCAGCAGACGCAAGGTTACCGATGTGGCCAAAAGCGCGCTTGCCGAGTCCGCGGAGGCGAGGTACGTGTTCCATTGTATACTCTTGTCAGGCAGCTGTCTGATCAAGCCATGTTGTTCTGTTCGCAGTCGTATTGAGGAGCACTGGATTTATTGGTCTCTGTACACAACCACTGTGATGTATTTAGTATTTGCACAAAATCACGAGGTGCATCATCATTACAAGGTAACGTCTCTCGAATTGGAGACACTGCTAAATGTGACCACAGATTGGTCACCAGGAGGCAAAGGTTAGTAGTCGGCTGATGTCACTGAGTCGAGCTGTTTTAATATAAGATTTGCTCAATTGAAAGAGAAACGCAATTGGGTGCTGTACGAAATATTGTGCGCCTCTTTGGCTACTTTGTCATAGTCGATCGTTCGTCATCCAAATTTCATTATTATATTTACTAATGCAGTATCGCGCTTCAACGCAATTCAGTGTTTAGTGTCAAGTCACTGGGGACTGCTTAGACCGGCCCTGTGGTGTCATTTAAGATGCCTAGCACCTGAAAAAGTTAGTTTGTTCAGTACTTGTGATTTGACGCCTATCTCATGGTATTCTGCAAGCAGAGGAATATATTTTTTAGAAACTTTGTCCATTTGGTCACAATGAGGCAACCGTGTGTTCCGAATGACCAACGCCGTCTGTCTATCTGCCCAACGAATTTCACTGTGTCGTTGATTGGTCACTAACTGCCTATGCCGCTCCTTAGTATGGAGCGGCTACATTACTCAGCCGTTTTCATTCAATGTGGTTTTCCAAATTTGACCTAGTTTGATTAATGTACCATTCTCACACTCTTTGGGATTTGTGTTCCTCTAGCGCACAGTCCGGTGCTAATCCACTGAGCGCCGCGTTGGCACTGGCTCGTCAAAAAGCGGCTCAGCTGGGACTGTCGAAAAACCTGGGTGCTGCTGCGACCGCCGCTCGGGCGGATGCGGCACAAGCTACTACAATCGCTGTGCTTTCTGGTAATGCTCCCTCTGCAAATCTTGGACCTGCGAGCGCTGGTGCAGCGGCCGCTGCAGCTGCGGCTGCCGCCGCCGTTGGATCGGGCATCACTAGCAGCCGAACGTTGGCAGAACAGGCTGCTGAACGTCTGAATGCCAAACTGGGCTACTCAAAACAAGCCGGCCAGTCGGGTACAGGTGAAGATGAAGCTACCCCAACTGCCGGAAGCGATGTGGTTCGAAGGTGGGTTACTCTAACCAAATAATAGTATCTGACAAATAGTCCAGCCAATCCGTAATTAGGTCGAGGCATCACATGGCATAATGGGTGCTTCTTCTGAAGCCTAACGTTCGCGCCGAAATAACAGCATTTCCGTGAGCACCTAAATTTTCCTTGGTATCACAGTTTTTGATTTTCGGTTTAATCAGAATGCACTTTCCCATCTGAGTGCCATTAATTAGTTGATCACATTGGCATATTTGTCATCATGTCTTACTCAAACTATTTAAGATACGTACGATCCTTAGTTCGCTGTGTGATACGATCGACAATGAGGCATACTAATAGAAGTCATAGGGAAACTGTTTCCGATACCGCCCTGCTGTTGCGTTTCTGTGGTCACATGGTGTTCACAAATTTTAAGCGTCTTGATACCGAGTGTTCCCTTAATGCTACGGAACCCGCGGCAGGTGTCTTTTTACCACTTTTGTAATTCCGTATTACCTGGGTACTTTCCCTGAACTGCATCTACCGCTGCTGCTAACTTCACACATTCTTGTCCTTTCAGATTTGAAGAGGAGCTGGTGATAAATGACTTTCCGCAGAGCGTGCGCTGGCGTATCACCGGACGCGAAATGCTCAATCACCTGAATGACTTCTGTGACGTCGGCGTGTCGGTGCGTGGAGTTTATATGCCACCGGCAAAGGCCAAAACGCACGTGCCCGAGGGATCGGACGATCGACCCTTGTACTTGTGTATCGAAGCAGTCAGCGAGCGGGAGATTGCCATCGCCAAGAAGGAGATCATGCGTGTGATAAAAGAGGAAATGCTAAAACTGGTATGCCGCAGACACCTGTGCCCGAAGTTATTTTCTCCTCTTGTGCTTGGCTCACGTTTGAGCGTTTGTTGCCACTTTCTGTCGGCTTTGTGCGTATGAATTCAGGTATATCCCGTCGTATGACGCAATCACTTAGTGGTCGATTTCACCAGCCATGTCAGAAGCACAGTGATGTGGCTATCGGTTGAGTGCCTGTGCTTAAAGTGAGGAGGTATGTGTTGTGCTTTGTCGCTGTAGTCGGGGGGCTCATTTAAGTGACGGGTATGTCTTGATGTTATTATTCCTACTCTGGATGAGCTAGCAAAGCGCTCACTCATCTGATACATCCGTTCTGACGACTAGATCCAAAAGGCTACTGGTCGTTGCTTTGGGGGCGGGGCGGAGTGCAGGGTAATTATGTCGCTTTTGAGAAGGCCCATCACAGCCCGACGATAGCTAAACGTCTGGAAAATCACGGGACGGCCGTTTGATTTCAGTGGGACTCATCAGTAGCGTACATCAGCCGGATCCGACTCTATGACGTCACTCGTATAACCCACAGGTGATAGTGGCGGATCGCTATGACTGATATAGCGTGGCTCATTTCCTACTGAGTGCAGAACATAGGGTTAGGCCCCAGAGCTACGGATTCCTTTGCAAGCTGTCACCTATGACTCTGGGTCTTAAGTCGCGGGTTCGGATCCAGCGGGACCCGGTGGATGTGCGCTACTGATGGGTCCCAACAGAACGAGACGCTCGTCTAGCTATTTTCTGGAGGCGTGTTGACTGTTCGACTGCTAGGAACCCTCACAAAAAATAATAAATCCCTCTACTGCTAAAATAGAGCGGGCTATCGCTTTGTCTACCTATGGTGCCTCCGAATCAATCATGATTCCCATCATCTTGCATCGCATCGTATTTGGTATGCGTCAGTGGAGCTGTAACGATTCACACCCCTATTAGCAGACGAGTCCCGATTAATCGTTCTGTGTAGAAGCTATTAGTGATACAATTACCTATGGGGAAAACTATGAACGTCTTAAATAAATAAATGCGGGGCACACCTGCTAGCCGATTCGCACTGTGTATGTCATCAGTGTACCTCAGTGCACCCGTACGGTGTTATTTTTTGTCATCGGTTCATAATACCGCCGCGTCCTTATTCTGAATCGATTCGTGACGTCCCATGTCCAAATCCGGTCTGGAATTTCTGATCGTTTCTCACATTGATCGTTTTCCCTTTCAGCAATCTGGAACCGCTTCTAATCGTGGGCGCTACAAAGTTGTATAGGATGCTCGTGGCCCCAGAGTGCTTCACCGTGTACATATTGTCGATCGATCGCCCCGCGCTGTGATGGATGCTCCAGCCTCACCACCTGTCCCCATTGTATACTTCTTTGAATCCACACACTTCACAGTGTTGCTCCACAGTTTGCTTCTTAGTGCACTGAGACCCGTTGTCACAAATGTATCAGTTATTTTGCAAGTGCTTTGTGTCTTTGTCATCAGTGTCACATGATAAAGTAACGAGTAAGCGCGCCTGTGTTGCCGTAGTATGCGAGATTCTCTGTGGCATGAAAAAGAGCAACTAACAACACAGATTCGTTAAAACGATGCAACTCACATGACCCACGAACTCAGAGCCAACCTTGAATGTTGTACCGACGCGGGCAGAGTGCGCAAGGTATCACATCTCTCTCTCTCTGTCGAGGAGTCAGTCAACATCATTTTTCTTCCAGTACGATGTCGATATTGCAATCATTGTAGTCCACTAGTTCAATTCATTCAGACAGGTAAGCACCGTGTGCCTAACAGTGGTCGAAAGCGAAGTTTATCGGATATGGTCTGAGAAATGACTAGAATCATCGGATGGAATGAATCGCAATTGTAAAGACAGAAAACCGGATGCAACGGCGTCGCTGAACTCGCGAATGCGCCGCACTGTAAAGGGCATCTAATCTTTAGTGTGACCGGTCCCAATGTCCCCAGCCGAGAAGACGTTACATGTCAGTCATTTCACACTCTATGGGACTTCATCTAACCAAGTGCACAGAAATGGGCGTTTGTCGACATCAAGCAAACACATGACCAAGCCAGCGTAGGTGATTTAAATTTAACCAACGACCCATTTTGTCACCAGAAAGTCTGTTGGCAGGTATGAGTTAGGGAACTTTCGTTGGCACTGGCGGTCGAAACGATCCGTCTTCTATCCCCTCCATGCAGTGGCGCTGGTCGCATCATTGTGCTGTTACTGCCCGTTCAGCAAACACCTCTAGGATATGAGGCAATGAATGATTAGATCGGTTTCCGTGATTGTTGATTGCAGCACCGGCCGTCATTGACGCAAAAGATGGGCGAACCTAATGCTAACTATTCACCTACGAGGTCATCAACAATGCTCCGTAGACAACAATAACCAAAGACTTGAAGGTGCCTCAGATCGAAGGGGCCAAGTTTCACTACCATAGAACAGGATGGCCCTCACTGTGGCCTTGTATACACGGAGGGAAACTCCCTTCTGTCGCCAAAGATGCCGCAGGATCAAGAAAGCGGTTCTGGCCTTTGCAAGGCGTGAACTGACTTCAGTTTCTATGCGCCCATCGTTGCTGATGCAGCTGCCAAGATAAGTGAATTGATCAACTACCTCGAGTTCTTATTAAGGGTTAAGAGGTCATCAAGTGACTGGAACGACAGGATAAGTTCCTTAAGTCTTCTTTCTTGACCGGGTCGTTGATCCATGAGTCGACAGGAGTGCGCCGACTTCGTGATGGATCTAAAACGAAAACACCGGTCCACCAATTTAATGCCCACCTTTTTATGCAAGTTAACAAAGAAACCGATTTCCAGATTCTGTATAAAATACCAGCAGCACACAGCTATAGACTAAGAGCGAGACTGCTTGCTACTGCAGAGGCGGTATGAATAAGATTACCAAGACCCGATTTGCGTACAGAAGAAAATGATACAATCTTTGCAACTGCTTCGGCCTGTTATCGGAAGGGAAGAATTCGAGCCAGGTCAACACCTGAAACTGTGATCACAATTTGAATAATCCGGTCAACTGCTTACTTTGTTTTGCTCAAACGAATGATAGCCAACATAACCGTCATGTTTTTTACTGTAAAAGCCTAAGGAAGAAGTAACCGAAAAAATTGTTTGCTTTTCGCCTACCGCTTTCGATTTTTTTCCTGGGATCGACGATACATGGGCATCTTACAATAGTTCAGAATGGGTTGCACACTCTGCGGATCGCCACCAAAGCGATACCATCGGCATCTAAGTCGGTCGCGCGCCCACCCAATAGAACCTCGACAGGACTTCTTCACTTGCAAAATTGAAGAGGAATGGGGACACATGGTAGTCCTGTGGAACACCGCTACTGATAGCCAAGGACGTGCTGTACCGTGGATCCCCACTCTGTAGGACACATGGTGCGTTAAAGACATTATCCGACGCTTAAATGATCTCAATACTTTGTAACTGACATGCCGGTTGTGAGAGGGACTTCGCAATGCACCCAGCCCGCCATAGCTTGTTGTGGTCACGTGACAGCGAAGCGTCAGCCCTACCTACCAGCGTGCTGCAAACGCTTTCTCTCCAGTTAGGGTAACTGAGTGCCACATACTACGCAGGCGCCTGAAACTGAGCGGACAGCTGACCTCGTAGGTGAATAGTTAGCATTAGGTTCGTCCATCTTTTGCGTCAATGACGGCCGGTGCTGCAATCAAGACTGTTATTCTTGTTTCCTGGAGAACTAACACACCTGATAAGCAGGCACTTTCAGAAGTGAACAAGCAGCCGAAATAAGGAGAGTGAGCGCGCAAAGTAAGCTGAGTTAAGACAACTGATCTAGACAGATCAATCTTGTAATTTTATGGTTTTTCGTCCCAGTAGCTCAAGCTACATAGCACAGCCTAGTCCGGAATAGTACCAGACGCGTTTCGCCCTATTAGGGCTCATCAGTGGTGCGGATTCCTTCGGTCCCCTACTGGAGGTCGAACCCATGACTGCTAGAGGTAGATGCCAACTACCCAGCAGTTTAAGCCACTGAGCCATGGGGATGTCAGCTGGGTTACATAATTTGCAAGCTGAGATATAGCACGGTTTAATTTCCACAGCCACGCAGGTTACCACCTTAGCAGATGCTATCGACGTAGCGCCTAGTGAGAGGAAGTCATGATCTTCGGAGGCTAGTCCCTGTCATCTGCTAAGGTAGTAATCTGCGTGGCAGTGGAAGATCGATCGTGTTACATCCCAGTTAGCTTGCAAATTATGTAGCCCAGCCGACATACCCAATGGTTTAAGCTTCTGGCTAGTTGGCATTTGCTTCTAGCGGTCATGGATTCGATTCCCAGTAGGGGACGGAGAGAATGCGCACCACTGACGAGCCCTAATAAGGTGAAACCCGTCCGGTACTTTTCCGGACTTAGGCTGTACTATGCAGCTTGTGAGACACTGGAACGGAAAACTTAAAAGTCTCCTACTCACTAGTAAGACCAACCTTGTGTTGATGTGAGCCACAGCAGCCGTCCGTACATCTTCCTTACACGGTTGTGAAACCTGGCCCATCAGGTTGACAGACATAAAGAGAATAGTCAAGTTCGATCACCGCTGCCTTCGCAGCCTTGCTCATGTCTGGTGGGAGCACCGCGTGAGCAATGAGCGCGTCCGGCGTCGCGTATTTGGTTCAGGAAGAGCGAGTGAAGCGCTCACCACCATTATTATCACGCACCAGGCTCCGATGCCTGGGCCACGTGTTGCGCATGCCAGTAAACCGACTCCCGCGACGCGCAGTTTGCGCGCCAGGTGTGCAGTTGGAAGAGGAGAGGTCAAGCGATGAGTTCACCATCATCAATACACGTTAGCTGAGAGTGAGAAATACACCTCAGCTAATGGCAAGGTGTCGCAAGCGATGACTTGGTCGAGAGAAATGAAAACCCTTACTTCGAAGCTGGTGTCGGTTGATGCTTCCCGACTATCTGGCTAGGATTCGAAGGACGATGAACACCCTTGGTTGGACACGCTTGCTGACATGGTTAGGAGCCGGCTTCAATAGCATTTATCTTGAGTTTCTGTCCATCCCTCTACCCATTAGACCCCCTCCAATGACGATCTCATACGGAATGCTTAAGATAATATATTGTATTACCTGCCATGGAATTTTTTGTAGTGTAATATCTGGTATCTTGTCGTTTTGTATTGCGGCACAATAGCTGAGGTATGTATCTTACTCTGGGCTAACGTGTATTGATGATGACGATGCGCACCACTGATGGCGATGTGGTCAAGCTGAGTTCAAGACACTTGTAGACCGAGTACCTGTGCTGGAAAGCTACGCTACTTATACATGGGTGATGACCGATGCACAGCTGGGTAGAGTAACATAGTCAAAGTACGACAAGCGTCAGCTCCGAAATGGGTCTCGGGACGATGTTTCGACGTTGATAAACGACCAAAATAATCACTTACGTCACCTGCAACAAGCACGATGCCTGGGCTTATGATCATTCGGACAAGAAATGTGAGTTATCAAATATGCTTTTAATATCTATTGGGTCACAGTTGGTGACATCGTAGCCCTTTGCTCGTAGCAGCCGTTTATTAAGTCCAATGGAACTCCGAATTCGAACTGCAAAAGTGTAGCTGCCCACTACGATCCAGACACGTTCACCGAGACCGATTCGGGTAGCATCAACGTGGCGCCGATAGACGAGAGCCTAGTGGGCGTTGATGCATCACGATATTGCTGTCCTGTACGCGTGTTACAGAGACAGCACACACCAAATCCGAGCGGGCTTCAAATCGTAGCGTGCGTCACCTGTTTACTAGTCTGATGTGGTGTGTCTTCCCTAAAACGCCCGATGTCTAGATTTGAAAAATGTTTCAGCTGGTGTGGTCACCAGCGGAGGCTTTTGCTGGTGACTAGGATGAGATGATTCGTGAGAAAAGTCTTGCTCGAAATGCACTACATCTGGCATTCGAAACAACTGTTAGATCCACATGGCAGTGGGGCAGCCGGCAATACATCCTTGAAGCGTTGAGGACCAGTTGGGCTTTCTACGTCCATTGAAGACTATACACCTATGAAAAGGGCCATGGACTGCTTAGGTGGGCAGCGTCAAATAACTGAGCAAGGGTGGTGCTGTCCCAGTTAGATAAAACTGATGGAGCACATAATCTCCGATTGCATTAAGCTTATAATCAGTGGACGGCTGTTCTGTCACGGTTAAATCTCGAAGGAAAATGGTCACGTATCTCTGATCAAACCCCAGAGGATGTTGAGAATTAGCTGTTTAGTCCCTAACCAATGACCCGATTGGCGTCTCGGGAGCGGCACCAATCGTAACTCAACGGATAGCAAAGGCGCACAGAGCATCGCACCACGTTCAGGGCCAGCATTGTATCGATGGACATCGAGATATGCAAATGGAAGTACGTCAGAGCCGGTAGTAAACATCGTACGAAAGACACGAAATAAAGGCAAAGTCACCGTAATCGTTTATTTGTACAAACTATTTCGCCAGCTTCGAAGCAAGTCGATCCAAGTCCTGCCGACCAGCTGGTGTCAGTGATCGTCCGCTGGAAATAAAACGACAGAATAGAACAGTTAAATAGTAAACATAAAGAACTATGCAAGCGATACTGAAAAGTTGGCAAGTCTGTGGATGTAGCTTATTAAATATGACGACATCGATAGACCTATCAGTAGAGCTGGACGACTCCGTTTTGATTGGCTAGCTAACACGTTCCGTTGCTGAGAGTTAGCATACTTTTTCTGGCAGCTTGTGATGTGCATTATTACAAATGATTGACGAAAACACAGAATATATAATTTCGCCGGTGTAATATTCCGGCGCAGTACCGAAGGTGGAAGTAATCGTGGGTCATGAAGACCAAATGACTAATAGTTACCCTACACTAATGTATGGATTTGGGAATTTAATAAGTATGGTTACGTCAAGGTTGAAAACTTTTGGCAAATTAGCATATAGATTCTACACGTGCGGTTGTCCGAATTAATGGTCAGCTCGAGTATGGCGATAAAAGAGGAATGACCAGCAGGCGTAAAAGAGCTAAAAGCTAAAGCAAAAGTTCTACACTTCGTTCTTGAAACAGTATTGGGATCGTGGTGGGAGGTAAAGGTGAAGCGAGAGGGACAAAAAGAAAATGCAAACGCCAATCAAGTCAACCCTGCGTCATATCAACAAGTGTATCAAGTCAAACGTGTTCAGCATCTTAGGGCCTAATCTAAAAAGTCGAGCTCCACCCGAAGTCAAGTTCGAAGTAACGGACATCAATCACCTGTTGGCCTTCCCTTACATTCTCCCACACATTCCAGTCATGCAAAACAGCGCGTGTCGCAGGAGTCGGTGTACTGGCATGCGTAACTTGTGACCTAGTCATCGGAGCGGTTCACATTTTCTTTCTGCGACAAGACGCTGAACAGGCTCATTGCTAACGCGATGTTTTCACTACATGGCGGCTAAATTGCAAATGCACCAGGGGATGAACGCACGCACGTGGTAGCGTCTTTATGACTGCCGGTCTGACATGTTTCCCAGCTGTTTTATTAAGCTGAATGGACGAGTGTATTGGACACTCAGGGTGTGTTGCCCCGCCGGCCACAACAATGACGGAGATTGGCGAAGGCGCCCTAAGCCTTTGTTAGACAGTTTGCCATTTAGTCCTTAATCACACAGCGTTCAGGTAGCTCCTCAAGTAGTTAAATCTTTGAACAACTAGTGGTGGACGCTGCCAATCTATGGGAAAGGTTTTGCAATTCAAAGTAAAGCACCAAATGACTTCCAATTCGCGCTAATCAGTCCAGTGCCGCATGGCAGGTTTTTGAACTGTCAAAGACGAGGGAAATATCATCGGTATGCTCCAAGACAAAAAGTAAATCATCTGGGAGCAGCTTTACACCTATCTATTGTCCAGCGAATGTGGTTACCATAACTTTTTCGGCAAAGAAAGTAAAAAGGTAACAGCGGGTGTCTGCTTTATTCGGCTGGAAATATTGAGTAGGTGCGATGGTTCGCCACAAGTCGTCTGTCCGAGCTACGCGCACTAAACGCACAGCTTGTCCAAGTAGACGGTTCGAAAGGTTACATTTTTGATATCAAGGAATACGACTACGATGGCTCTCTAATAAGTATGGCTATATTCCAATAACGTACTGTGAAAATGCGGTCAATACAACCCCGATTTCGATGAAATTCGGGCTGCTCTTGGCGAATCTGACTTTCACACACTGGCCGACATAAGACGCAACAAGCTTATATGCAATCGAGATAATACAGATATGAGGTTTGCTTAAAAACCGGGACTGTGACGAGGATGCTCCAGTGCGTTGGGAAAGTTTAATGCACCTACAGTTTTACTAATAAATCGTGTAAAGCATCCACAAAAGCAGGTCCCACAAATTATGAGGGCTGGAAGTGATTCATTTAGCCTTGACCTCAGTGCGAGGGCAGATCCAAAGAACAGGGTGACCACTTGCTGGCAACATATGTCAGTTCCGGCAGATTGAATCGCTTTTCAAGGGGTTCTGTTCAGCGCACTTAGTTTTGAAAGGTAGTAAAATCTTGTCGCATACCGTTTCACTAACATCAAGTCAATTGTGGTCCGTTTCCTGTATCAGACGGAATAAGTTCTAAAGGTTAGCAAAATCAGCGGCTGTTGCAATCTCAGATGTAGGATGAGATCATTAGGCCTCGCTGTCTCTCTTCAGGCTAGCACGCACTTTTGCACCGAGGTCTTTGCGATACTCGTTGGGTTTGTTTCATCCTCATCATTATACATGTCAGCTAGATGGTAAAAACACCTCCGCTATTGTACCGCAATACATAAAGGAAATACATACATACATACAATACATAAAGGAAAAATAAATACGACAGTTGAATGCCAGCTGAGCTACCAGCAACGGATACGCATCGTTCCGGTAAGCTACTAGCCGGCTACTAGGCAAAAACAAAAATTTAATTACGTTTTACCCCACGAGATAAGATCGTAGATGGAGGGGGAGGCTAAAGGGATGGGGAGGGACAAAGAAACTCACAGCAGAAACGCCACTGAGGTCGGCTCCTTGCCATATCAGCAAGTGTATCCAGCCAAACGTGTTTACCGTCTTTTGGACCCCAACCAGGGAGCCGTGAAGCTCCAACTGAGGCCAGCTCCGAAGTGAGGACCTTCATTCCTCTGGACCAAGTCATCGCGTGGCCACCTCTCCTCTTCTTCCACCCACATCCCCGGTGAGCAAACAACGCACGTCGCGGGAGTCGGTGGGCTGGCATGCGCAACATGTGGCCCAGCCATCGGAGCCTGGTGAGTGAAATGACGGTGCTGAGCGATTCATTCCCTTTTCCTAGGCCGTAAACAAGGCGTCGAACACGCTCGTTACTCACGCGGTTTTCCCACCAGATGTGAGCCAAACTGCGAAGGCACCGATGGTCGAACGTAAGTAGCCTCTTCATGTCCGCCGATCTTAGGGGCCAGGTTTCGCAACCGTACATTAAGGTCGAACGTACCGCTGCATTGTACACTCTACCCTTCAGGGCGAGAGTAATGTCGCGCCGTCGCCATAGGTGGCGAAGGTTAGCAAAAGCACTTCGAGCTTTCGCTATGCGGTTCGTGATCTCGTCTTCGATCCCAAGGGCGCTGATACAACTTCCCAGGTAATTGAATTTCTGAACGACTTCTAGCTGATCCCCACCAAGGGTCAGCACAGGGGGCGAACCCTGCCAATCCTGGAAAAACGCTTTGCACTTCGGTGGTGCAAAGCAAAACCCGAAGCGACTGACAGCCAGTGCTAATCTGTCCAGCGCGGATTGACACGTCTGGGAGCTGTCACAGATGAGGGCAATGTCGTCTGCATACTCTAAGTCAAGAAGTCGTTCTCCTGGGAGTAGCTCCACACCTTCCAAGTCATGTCCTGTAAATGCAATCTCCATGACTTCGTCAATAGCGAAGTTGAATAGGAAAGGTGACAGCGGGCATCCTTCTCACACCGCTGGAAATATTGAAGGGTGGCGACAGCCTGCTGTAAGCCCTTACTCTGCCCGTGCTACGCGCATATAATGCTTGGATAATATTTACATATTTCTCGGGCACACCTTTCCTGAGTAGACAATTCCAAAGGGCACATCGATCAACCGAATCGAAGGCACCTTTGATGTCGAGGAACACGACTACAGTGGGCCGCCAATATGTGTGACGGTGCTCCAACAACTGACGCAAGGTGAAGATGTGGTCGATGCAGCCACGACCCCGACGAAACCCGGCTTGCTCCTCACGAATCTGGCTTTCACGAGCGCCAGTCAGTCTGTGGAGAATTATGGACGCGAGTAATTTGGAGGCGATGGAGATCAGACTGATTCCTCTATGGTTGCCGCATTCCGAGCGCGAGCCGCCTTTGAAGATGGGAACAATAACGGAGCGGCTCCAGTCGGTTGGGACAGTTTCCTGCTCCCACAGTTTCACTAGTAATTCATGCAAAGCATCAACAAGAGCAGAGCCTCCGAATTTGAAGAGGGCTGGAGGAAGATCATCTGGTCCCGCGGCTTTGTTCAACTTCAACAGTCCGATCTCACGTTCGACTTCTGAGCGAGAGGGTGGATCCAAAGGGACAGCCCACAGAGCGGGGCGATCAGTGACCGGCGAATCGAACAATTCTGGCCGATTAAATTGCTTTTCAAAATGCTCAGCCCAACGCTCCAGAGGTTTTGACAAATTGTGGATAGGCTGTCCACTCTCGTCACGTATAGTTTCACTAACACCAGGTCTGCTGCTGCCCGTTTCCCGTATCAGACGGAATAACTTACGATGGTTGCCAAGGGCAGCGGCCACTTCCATCTCTGACGCACGATGAGACCACCAAGATTCGCAGTCTCTCTTAAGGCTAGCGCGGAGTTTTGCCCGGAGCTCTTTGCGAGTTTCATTGTGCTCGCTTCCAGCCGGGATATGCCGGCGAGCATCTATAAGTTCCAGAGACTGCGAAGAGACCCAATGTCCATGTTGTCTATTAGACATACCACATGAGGATTTTCCTGCTGCTAGTAAGGTCTGGCGAACATGTGACCAGTGACCATCAATTGTCTCCTGTGAGCGCTTGCTCAACTCGCATGTTAGCGTACTTCGATACGCATTCAGAACAGCTGGTTTTGTCAGTTGGCTGGTGCCAATACGCTCACAGCGTCGTCGTGGGCGTCCGCCAAAACGCATCCGCATGTCAGCACATACAAGTGCATGATCGGTGTCCACACATGTGCTCCAAATCGAGCGACAATTCTGGATGCAGCCTCTCCAGCGGTAACTTATCGCAATGTGATCGATCTGCGTGCAAGGCTGGTGGGCGCCAAGTCACCCTTCGGCGGGTGCTGTGTCGGAAATTAGTGCTCGCAAGAAATAAGCGAGCATCTTCACACAAATGAAGTAACCGCTCACCGTTATCATTACGAGAGCCTACACCGTGTTGACCGCCCAGATGCAGTTCATCAGTGGACAACTTTCCAACTTGTGCGTTCATATCCCCCGCCAGCACAAATCGGAATGTGTCGGCAGTTATCTAAAGTTCTAGA